GAACGAACTTCCTCCCTCCTTCCTCCTCCCTCCCTACCCCTCCCCCTCCCCCTCCCCCCTCTCCTCCTCCTTCTCCTCCCTTCCTTTCCCTCCAACTCTTTCGCCATCCCCTCTCAACCATTTTTCGTCCTCACAGTTTCGCTCTCCTTACACATCGAAGGTCTTCCTGTTCGCTGACGGTAGAGAGAAAAGTCCCCCGTCCTCCCTCCTCCCGTCGAGCATTTTCCTCGCGTCCTCTCTGCTCCAACCGATTGACTGCAGCACGTCCGAGATCGTCGACGAGAAAGCGAGAGAGAGGTCATGATCGTCCCTGGTCCTCCCTGGAAGCCCTCTTCCAGCTCCTGCTCCAGCTCCTGCTCCTGCTCCTGCTCCACTTGGTCCTGGTCCTGGTCCCCTGTAGCTGAGTCCTGCTCCTGCTGCTCCTGCTGCTCTTCCCCTCCCTCCTCCGATCATCATCAGACGCTTTGCTCCTCCATGCACTGATGCGGCATTTCCCATCTTCCCGTTCGCAAGACTTGAAGGCTTCCGATCCTCGACGCTCTTTGCTCTGCTCAGCAAGCCATCGGTCTGCAGGTCCTCCTTCACTCTCTTCCCCTCCTTCGCGTGCTTCTCCTCCTCGCTCTTTATCAGCAGCTGCTCGATCCTCTCCAGCTTGCTCATCGTCTGCTCCTGCACCAGAGCCATCCTCTCACTCATGCTTTTCATCTCCTCCGACAGCTGCCGTATCCTCCCCTCGCACTTCCCACATTTCTCCTCCGTCTCCTCGCAGCTCTGGGGAGCAGCCGCTGATGCAGCTGGGGCAGGAATACCATGATCGCCCCTGCGGGAGTAGGAGACTTTGGCAGACTGGGAGGACCCTCTGCGACTTGATCCTTTCCTCTCCACTCCCACGGGCAGGCCCGAGGTCCCGTCGAGCTTCGGGAGCTCGACAGGGAGGGAGGAGGAGGAGGAGGAGAAGAGGTTGGTTGTAAGGCTCCACCTCTTGAGCAAGTGACCTCTCTTCTTCCCTCGCTCCTTCTTGCGCTGGATGTTCGCTGCCGCTCGCTCGAGCACGAGCTTGCTGTCCTTCGCGCTGTCTCGGTGCCGGATGTAGTGCACGACCTTGGTTACCATGGCGTAGAACCTCGCCAATCTCGTCACCCGCGCAGCTGAAACTTGCTTCCTTCCCCGCTCTTTGCCATCGTCTTCTTCCTCCCCTTCTCTCTCGTTCCTTCCTCCCTGCTTCTCTCCTTCCCCACCTCCTCCCTCCTCCTTTCCTCCATCCTCTCCTGCCTCCCTCCCCTCTCCTCCCGCCACCTCCTTCCACATGGACTGCTGGCACATGCGGACGTACTGGAGGGTATTGAGCTGCTTCTCAATCTCTAGCTTGAGCTCGGGCGGGTAGGAGTCGAGCACCTGCAGGAAGGAGCTCCTGCTGAGAGTGACGCAGATCACGAACGACATGGCCACGAACTCGCAGGCGACGCCGAAGGAAGTCTTCCAGGTGTTTTCTCCGAGGATGCAATGCTCTCCGAAGAACTCCCGCGGGCCCAGAGTTGAGATGGTCTGACCGTCGGGCAGAGTGACCTGAAGGAAGGGGTGAGAGAGTGGGGAGACGTTGAGCTTGCGAGGAGGATGAGGAGAGGGTAGGGCATTGAAGATCGCAGGAAGGGCGAGTGGGAAGTGAGTGAGAGGTGGGGAGGGAGGGCTCAAAGAAAAACCTTGATGTTTCCATGCTTGATGATGTAGAGTCGATCAGCCGTAGTCCCTTGTGTCGCGATGGGATAGTTCCTGACGAGACACTCGATGAGTAACAGATGGTTGTTTGCAAGCAAACAAGCAAGCTGATCACTTTGGGAAGGTGATAGTCTCCATGTTTGAAAACAAGTCAACCTGTGTGACTGGAGCTCAGTAATCTGCCGGACAGCACTCGCAGCAGCAGACCAGGAAATCCTCACGGTATTTGCTTGAGAGGTGGCACAAGAAGGAAACGCTGTAGAGCATTCCGTTGTGCAGGTGAGATTGAATCGCCCGTCTAAACACCACCTGTGAACGCATGAAGTCAGATGATGATGGTAAACGGGTGTTTGTGACAAGATCCAAAATTCGCATCTAATGACGGTATTTGAGATCAATTAAAACATACATGTTTCGATGCTCCAGGATCATCAAGGGATAAGGACAAGCAATGCGCTGATATCAATCACACGGATTTCTTGATATCAGAACATCTCTCTCTTCAACATGACATCAACACATTTCTCATCATCCGACGCGCTCATTCAGAGCATTCGAGACCCACCGGAATGTTCTCCAGAGCCTCTGCCTTCTTATCCCTCACCACCTGTTGGGAGAAGTCGAACGCTACCCACTTGAGAATCTTGTTGCTGAGGTCGATCGGAACATTCTCCTGATACATGAAGTCCTTGATCTGAACAAGCCGAGTCACGATATCCCTTCCTCTCTCCCTCCCCTCCGACTCGGGTGATCTCACCCGCTGAAGGATGAAGTTCTTGCGTCTGTTGTGCTCGAAAAGATCCTCAATCGTGCTCTGAACTTCCGACAGCAACATACCTGCAAGCTTCCTGTAAGAGGAGAAAGGATGCTGAGGAGGGTGAAACAGATGTCAAGCAGTACGAGAAGAGAAGCGTACGGATCGAGAGAGGGATGAGGGAAGGGGTGGGTGGGTTGTGGACGAGAGCGAGAAAGGCTGTAGAGGAAGGGAAAGAGTGAAGGAGCGAGAACAAGTGTGACTTATTGAGACGGAGAAAGGGAGCCAGAGAAGAGGGAAGAGAAAGAGTGAGGGAGCAAGGAGTAAGAATAAGAGAGGAAGGAGAGGGAGAGGTAGCAAGGAGAAAGAATAAGAGAGGAAGGGGAGGGGGAGGGATTCTGAAAGATTGCATCACCGAAGACAATAACCCCGACGTACATGCACAAGATGGAAAACAATCTCTCCGCACTGTTTTCCTGAGTGAGGGCCAAGTCGTCAAGCACGGCGATGGAGAGCACATGTCAGAAAAGCAGACAACAGATGTCAGCTATATGTCATCAACGATACGCTATCGAGCAGATGAGAATCATGAACTACATCTCATCAACAACATTGCATAAACAACATCTCATCAACGGCATCTCATCAACGGCAGCTCATCAACGGCATCTCCTCTCCAGTCATCGGCCCTCCCTCAGTACCGCGGCAATGTCTCCAAACCCAACGGTAGTGAAGACTGTGGTGACGAAGTACGAGGCAACTATGTAGCGTTGGAAGAGAGAAGGGGCGTCTCCCAGGTTGTTCGATTGGTAGAAGATAGAAAGCTCCTCCTCCCCTGTCGACATCGTCTTGACCAGCCAGAACAAGCACGCGACTGTCGCATGTGCATGAGCACAACATCAACCTCCCGGTGCGAAAGGCTCACCTGAGTGGACAGTGCAACTGATGGCGATCAGCAGACGGAACAGCCTCGTCAGGAACACAGGAATGCGCAGGAGCTTCTCCACGACATCGACAAACTTGACAATCTCCGGAGCTGTCCGGAACAGGCGGAACAACTTGAGCAACCGAAGCAGCCGCAAGATCTGCATCAGTTCTTTGCTGTTGAACTTATCCAAAGAGCTGTTCTCGCTCAACCAGCACACATTCTGCTGCACCAGAAACTGAACTGTGCTGACTGGAATGCTGGTGATGATATCGAGCCTGTCACAAAGAGGAGGAGCGTCAACCTAACACACAGGGACAAACATCAACAAGAACAGAGAAGAGAAACAATCAGACTGGAGCACAATCGTTCTTCTCACGAGAGCTTCGTTGAGATGTAGTGCATTGCCACAGAGAACATGTCGTCGTAGTACACCCCATCGATGTACACCCCGACAAGAAACTGAACCCCTACTTGAACCATGAAGAACACATCGACCGCGATCTGTACAGGCTCAACATCAGGGAGGCACTGAAGAAGCATCGCAAAGGGCCCGACATCGAAGTAGGCGGTTGAAAACCGGTCGCACACAGGATGGTTCCAGTAGAACCCAACCTGACCAGCACACTCAGGTCATGGCGGCGCGAACCTCACCAAGAGCACCTCGACTTGAGTCACCACCAGGATGTAGATGACGAGGATGTTCGACACGACCTTGGTCACCTACACCAGCATCAACCTTCCTCCTCCCTGCCCCCCTCGTCCCTCGTCCCTCCTCCCCGCCCCCCTCGTCCCTCCTCCCTCCTCCCCTGCCCTCAGCTCGGCGTACGTGCATGAACAGGGAGTCGGGGTGGACCAGCCTTGAGCTCTGCCTGCCGATCCCTGCCTTGGACGAGATCCCAAAGAAGGTATAGAGGAAGCCGTCATGCTTCTGATCGTGGAGGGAGTTGAGGATCCAGCTATGGTTGCTGCTGGTCATTCTTGGAGCACAGGTCCCTTGCCTGCGGACTGCCCGTCCCTGGGTTGTTACTGTTATGTCATGAGCGCACAGATCCAAGGACACGTCACGGTGAAGTTGATCTCAATTAGCAAACTTTCAAATGTTTCATGCTACTGGTCCTCGCTCGGTCATTGAGTCCTATTGCTACTCGTTTCCCTCGACCATCTTTGACAATCTACACTGTGAACTCCGTTCCACTGGATACCATCCCCTGCCTCTGCCTCCTCTGCCTCCTCTGCCTCCTCTGCCTCCCCTGCCTCCTCTGCCTCCTCTGTTTGGCTCCAACTCTCTCACTATCTGTCTCACTATCTGCCTCACTTTCTGACTCACATTCCTCTGCCTCCTCCTCTCTGCCTCCTCCTCTCTTCTCCCTCCCTCCCTCCGTCTCCCCCTTCGATGCCACAGCATGGAGTAAAGCCGGTTCGGGCAGTGCAGAAACTGTTTACTTTGCACTCCGACGAGCGATGGGACCCCCTACCCCTTTCCCGACTTCGACCCCTTGCATCCCTCAATGAGGACCCCCCAATATCCAAGTAAATGACCTGAAGTACCCGGTACTTCTGAGGCTTCAAAGAAATGAGGGGTGGTAGACAAGGGGGCCTGATGTTGCCTGGGCTCACTAGTAGACAATAATAGCATTTGAACCCCATGATTATATATAATTATTGAGATTATTCATAATTATATATAATATTGCCCACCACCTCTATGAATTTTCAGAGTTCCCCGGTCACAGGGGTGGGTAGCCTGTGTACATGGGTACCACTGATATGGGAAATAGGGGGTATATTTGATGATAAATAGAGGGGTACTCAAGAAGTTGGTCCTCTGTCCATATCAAGGGGGTCTAATTCAGTGTTCAAAAGGGGGTAGGGGTGGTTGATCCACAAATCTGCGGGGAATGGCGACTGTGGAGGAGAGACTACAGGCAGCGGGCGTGGAGGTACAGGAGGAGGAGGAGGAGGAGGAGGAGGAGGAGGAGGAGGAGGAGGAGGAGGAGGAGGAGGAGGAGGAGGAGGAGGAGGAGGAGGAGGAGGAGGAGGAGGAGGAGGAGGAGGAGGAGGAGGAGGAGGAGGAGGAGGAGGAGGAGGAGGAGGAGGAGACGTAG